AAAAATGTCAATGAAAAAATAATTTTTCACAATTGTTCCATAGACTAGCGCTATTGGCCATAAACTTCCTCCATTTTCCTCTACTTACACGGACCTGGAAGCTATTATGTATGCCCTTGGAGTGGGAGCGTCGGTGAAGGAGCCAAAAGATTTGAAGTTTATTTATGAAGGAAGTCCTGACTTTGCTTGTTTGCCTACTTTTGGAGTTATCATAGCTCAAAAATCGATAATGGGTGGAGGAATGGCAGAGATTCCTGGGCTTTCGATCAATTTTGCAAAGGTATGCATAATAAGAGATTTTATTTTGCTTTCCTTCCTTTTCTTTCAACATAATTAATAAATGTTACATGATATATGTGTATGAGAGTATGTATGTGGACAATAGTTTAGATTGGTTGGTTTGGGAATAAAAGTTTAGCTTGTCTTTTGATTTTTTTTTCTTCTTAAAAGAGAAATGAGTTACTCAAAAAGGGAAGCAGAAAGGAGAAAACAGTACTTATGTACAGGTCCACAACCTTGGCATGATGTCATTAATTCTCTGCCACTTGCTTCTTGTTGAACCAAGGGTAAATACCTTTCTTCAATTTTCTTGTTTATAAAATGTGTATGATAATCTTTACCTCATAATACTAGGAAAGCAATAAGCCAGGTAATTACCTAGGAGAATGTATTTGAGCCAAGTGTAAAGACCCCAAGTCAGGTGCCTCCTTGGCTTGTTTTTGGAATAGCAAGGGGACAATATAGCTACAGAGCTGGGCAGGGATCGTGCCAGTGGTAGGGAAGAGGGCGGTGGTCACAGAAGATTCCAGCTTATGCTGGTCTGAATGGGGCTCATTTGCTCTCTTTGAGCCTTTTTTTACTCACACGCTCAATCTTGCTACTGTCTGAATTGGTGTTGGGAGAGCCAAGCATGGAAGAGGTTGTGAGCCCAGTGATACTTGTTGAATCCGAGAACTATGAACTAATTTTGTGACTTTGGATGTCACAGAACTGGTTTATTAGAGGATGGATAAACTCACTGCTGATGTGACTCTGAGAATTTATTTTATTAGAAGATTTGATGAAATTGTTCTTGTGTCTCTACTGTAGTATTTGCTGTACGCAGTTCTGTTTGGGGAATGTGAGTGTCAAAATGAAAGCAAATGTTTCAGAACTATCCCTTCGAGTTGAAAGGAGTTGGAGATCATAGGTGGTGTGCAAACTCTGTGGTGGGACTGATAGCAGTCTTCAAATTTAAATCCTCATTCTAATCTTGAGTGTCCAGGAATTTTCAGAGTCAGGTGCTCTTTTGTTCTTCCATCACTGTACATCCCACTCACCCTTCCTATTTTCCTTCTGGGATCTGAGGGAGACTTGTAAGTAAGTGTCCCTCTGCGGTAGAGTGTGTTCACTTGGATATGGGTTGGATTTTGGTTTTCCTCCTTTGTTGTTTTCCTGCACACATTTGTATATTCTTGTCTCAATTGAAGTTATACAGTGTTCTTAATAGCTACCTTTTGTAGGTAATTTGCAGCATATTATTTGAAGAAAATGTTGACATCGATAGCATGCTTACTTTTGAAATGCTTGTCAGGTTTGTATGTGTGTTTTAGTTGCTTGTGTTTTGTATGTGAGACCTGAAATTCCTGGCCAGTTTTTGCATATTTATTCTATAGATATTTATTGGATACCTAGTATATTCCACGTACAGTGATGAGAGATAGAAACACAGGCATGTATTTTTTTAAAGATGTATTTATTTATGCATATAGAACTGGGGTACAGGCCAGAGGTGCAGGATTGGTGAGAGGATTCACCAGAGACAGAGTGGGGAGCAGAACAGTCGATCAATGAAGTACACTGCTGAGGGGAGCCATGGGAGAGTCCAGAGAGGTCTGCTGTGCCATGTGGGTCACCTCCAGGGTGGGAAATCAAACTCTCACTGAAGTGGCTGTGGCTAGCTTGCATTGCTGTGCTTTAAACCACTGCACCTCCAGGGAGGGCCGAAACACAGCATATTTTAATGCCTCCATTGGTAGATACTCCATTAGTTATCAGTCAACAAGGATTTATGAATGTCAAGAAAGAACACAAATATATCTTCTCTGCTCTGAAAGATCTGACAGTGTTTAGATGGGGGGTCTGATTTTCTCTGAACCATATGATTATGACATAGAAGTCAAACCGAGATAGATAATTTGGAGAGAGAAATGATGTGAACATGTGGAAATGTAACTTGTGAATAAAATACCCACTGGCAGAACTTGTGGCAGAAGAAATCTGCTAATACAATACTGTTTGCCTTAACGTAGGTTCTTCATGGGGAACAATACTTGGAGTTATATAAGCCGCTTCCCAGAGATGGTGAGTTCTCGTTTTACCCATTCTATAATGCTGCTATAGTTTCATTTTCTGACTATCCAAACTCTGTCAACATGTGGTGAACTGGCTTAGAGTAATATAAATAAACCAATCACATCGTATTTATTTGCATGTCAGCCACTAGAGTAGATTGATGCTAACTAGTTCCAACTGATAGTAACTAGCATCAATTTGGTAATGGTCTTATTTAATATATTACTTGACGGTATGACCAATTTATCCCTATTAACATATGTGTTATTAAAACAGAAGAGAATGCATGTTATAAACTTAGTCATTATATGTAATCAGTTATGATTCCTGTGCATATAGCTCTTCGTTCTTTTTTCAGTTCTAATTATGTTGTTTTCACAAATCAGACGATAATAAAAGCTACAGAATTTCACATCATTAACTGCCCTCCATTTTCTTTTAGAGAAAATAAAACCGAGTCTGCCCTGATGGTCACTTGTGTTTCCTCAGTACATTCTCACTTGTTCAGTAAAGCTTGTATTTTTCTCCTTTCACTGTAATTTGATGTATTTGTTTCCACTCTGATATCAGAATGTTGTCTAATTATAAATGGACTCTATAGGTGGTAAAGTAGAACAAAAGGGTTTATTTTTCATTTCTTATATAATATAGAGGTTGACTAGGGTTCTACTTTAATTTTTTCCTAAACCATTTTGTTCTACTAAAAAATGAATGTGATTCTTATTGTTAAGGCTGAATAATTTTATTTCAGTGTAGTGTTACAGTGTAAATTTTCACTCAGCACTTTCTGTTCAAGGCGGTGAGTGGTGACTGCTTCTGTCCAGTGTCTATGATACCTGCCATGACGAGCCACAGTACTCAGTTTTAGATTATTTTCTTATTTTCTAACCTGACTATATGTTGACATTGCTATTATTATGGTATATCACTTATCTTAAGTGAAATGTGGATTTTGTATCCTATCTCTGAGATTCTGGTGTGCGTGTGTGCATGGTATAGGGTGGCTGTGTTGGCAATGATTGAGGAGCTCAGGAAGCTCCTGGTGTGTTTTGACTGCGAGCCTAACATAACATGTTCATTTGGGGATAAGTGTTGATAAAGGAAGTAGGTGCTAAAACGATATAAATCAAAAGGAAAAAGAAAAATACTGAATGGTTTCACCTATATGTGAAATACAGGGAAACCAAACAGAGGGTCAGGAAAAAGAGAAAATTTGCAAACTGACCATAAATCTGAGGCCTACAGCAGGGGAGGGTGAAGAAGAAGAGTCAGAACAGGGGAGGGAAGAACGCAAAGGACTGCAGTGAGGGTCACAGGTGATGATGGGTAATGAGAAAACTAGGGGGACTATGCCTGAGGGGAGAAATCAAATATTGTACAAAAATGACAGTTGACTAAATTAAAAAAAAAATCAAAATTAAAAAAGAAAGCAAGTAGAAATGTGGAAGATCGGTTTCTGTCTTTAGGGATTTTAGAGATGAAGAGAAAGATTAGGTCATTACTAAAGAATAATTTTCACTAAAAATTGATAGGAATAAGGAAGTATGGAAGATGCTTTTTTAAACTTCTTAGACCTCCTTTGCCTCATGTTATATCTTTATGAATCATTTTTCCATGCTCCTGTGCAGTTTCTTTAAGTAGTTGTAAAGTATATTCTCTAATAAACATGGGTATTAAAGATTTGAGATACTAATTATTTGACACCTTTTTACACTGCAAAAAATCAAGGTAGGCCTACTGTTTATGACCTTTCCATAAATAAACCAGTTGAGGAGACTTTAGACTGCAGGCCTAAGGAGGTTGGCGTGTCTGCCTTAGTGGTGTCATCATGGGCTGACCTACCCCTCTTCCTGGCAAAATAAAAGCAGACGTGGAATGTAAAGAAAACCTACCAGCAACGTTTATTTCCCAGCATGAACTAGAACTTATTCTAGTTCAGAATATGCTGGTGTCTCGATATTGTTGGTTCACAACTTTCATCTTTACATTATGTTTACACTGGATGTCTTTCTTTTTAGACCCATTTCGTTCTGATGATAATGTCTATTTTGGGGTAAAACAATGCAATGCTTTTGGAAAGTGAGATTGTTAATGTTACCAACCTTGATTCTCTCCCAGGGATTAGGTGACCTTCAAATATTAGCATTTAGAAATATGTTTTTGGACAACTAAGTATTATGAAAAATGTACACTTCACACTGAATTTAAAAGCTTTAAGTGTTGTGTAGGTCCTTCCCAGTCTACACATTTGAAAGTGTTGGCACATCAGTATTCTTCTCTTATGAGTTAGGGTGATAATCAACTTTCAGACTTGGACAGCTGGTTAGATAGTATCATTTATATACATAGGGAATTAAAGAGAGAAGCAGATAGGATAAAAAGCCAATGAATTCAGCCGCAGGTGATAATGATACCTTAAGATAGCACCAGTGAAATGGTGCTAAGAAGAGCCCATGAAAGGGCAGAGTAATTAGAAAGAAACAATTTGTTATTGAAGCTGGGAGAGATTTCAGAAGGAATTAGGTAGGTGGTATGATTGTATGCTTACTAAATGTTGGTTAAATGATTAAATATTATTATTTTTTTAAAGATTTATTTATTTGTACATACAGAACTGGGGTACAGGCCAGAGGCTCAGGGGCGGTGAGAGGCTTCACCAGAGACAGAGTGGGGAACAGAACAGGCAGATCGACGAAGTACACTGCTGAGGGGAGCAGCGGGCAGGCCAGGAGAGGTCTGCCACGCCATGTGGTCACCTCCGGGGGCAGGCGGGGATCGAACTCATGCGGAAGTGGCTTTAACTTCTCAGTGCAGTGCTTTAACCCACTGCGCCACCAGGGAGGGCCCTAAATATTATTTTTTTTTTAAAAAAAGAATTATTAGAATTAGGATAAGTTGTGTTTTTGACTGCTTTATGTTGAATTATTTTTTTTCTAGTGAGTTCAGGAAAACTTTTTAAATCACAATTTTTTTTAGTTTTCCCTGAAATTACAATGGAAATTATGTAAAATTCTCTCATGTCTTAGTCTTAATAATTTATGGCAATCTTTTATTTATTTATTTATTTTACTTTTCATTTTAGGAAAATTAAGATGTGAAGCAGTTGTTGCTGATATCCTAGATAAAGGATCTGGTTCAGTAATTCTCATGGATGGTAACACATTTTCTTCTGTCTTTACATTGTTAGATTGATAGGCTCTGTAATAATACTTCACCATAAAAATTGATTAGTTGATTGTATTTATCTTCCAACTTGTGGGAAAGCAAAACAAACATTCTAAAAACGTATAGATCTTATAGAGTAGAGGGAAAGGAGAAGATTGGGGTCGGGGTGGGGAGCATGAGTCTTGTGAGGCTGTTTGAGACATAACCAAGCACAGAGTAGGACCTGTGTCTGGTGTGGACAGCACTGGGCAGAACTGTGTTGCACAGGAAGGAACATTTAGCCCTCAGCTGAAGAACTAGACTGCAGTATTCTTTTTGGGGTTAGTTCTTTGGTACTTGGAACTTATTTTAGTGCAGAGCCATTCCTATAAATGGCAGTTAGATTTCTGGCTGTGCCTGTTCAAGACAATTGAATTTCTAATATGGTTTGGACACATTACCACATCTTATTTGCAGTGGAAAGAAGATTACATTTAGTAAATTTTGAAATTCTAGTGATAGAACATCAATAGCTAAAGATTACGTTGCTTAAACTTTACTTATTTTGTAGTTCAAGAACAAAAAAAGTAGGTATCGTCAACATTTTGGAAATAAAGAACAGTGGAAATTTAATATTATCTGATATTGGAACATAAACTTTATTGTTCTTGTTCTAAATACATAGACGGCAGCTTATGCTGTAGCTCCTTTTTTTCCCTTAATATATTAAGAATATTTTAAATATACTGGGAACAGTTTTGATGTTCCTAAATATTTTTTTTTTACTGTATTGTTTTTGTTAGTGTGTAGTGTTTCATCATGTCTATTTTTTCTCCTTTTTTCCTTCTTCTTTCCTTATTTTCCCTACCTCTTTTAGATTTTTGTATTTTCTTGTCATTCCACATACATGCTCACATTTAACTGCCATCCCTCCAGTTTTCTCATCATTCTATACAGCTTACCACTAAACAAGGCTCTGCAGTGGCCTCAACTTTATTTTTTACTCGTTTCTCTTGAGTACTTTACTTATTTCACTGTGGCTTGATGAAACATTATAGTATATTTGAAAGTGCAGGGATAGTTGAAATTAGATGCCACATTGTCTATGTAATAAAGGTAAAAATTTTATTGTCATACAAATCGTCTTGCCTCTCTGTATTTTGTTTTTTTTCTTTAGTATGCAATTCAAACATATTTTTTTGCTTTCCTGAACTGGAGCTACAGCTAATACTCAGATTCTTAATGGGAAATTAATTAGTTGATAAACATAGCTGTCTTTCATTCATTCCTTGTTTCTTTGCTAACTTGCTACTCATTGATTCATTCATCAATTAAATAAATGTTTGTTAGGTGGCTTTTCCATACCAGACATTATTCTATTTGTTGGGTACATAATGTTGAGCAAACAGCCATGATTTAGCTCATATAAAGTATATACCTCATTCCCAATTATTTCCTTTTTTACATTCCAGATTCTTTTTGAGTGCTTTGGCAGAATGTCCCAAAGTTTGAGTGCAGTTACTGTACTGTAAGTGAGATTGCCCTAAGTACATAGATGGTAGCTTATGCTGTATCTCCTATTTTCTCCCTTAGTATATTGAGAACATTTTAAATGTATTGGGAACATTTCTGAGATGCAGAGAGCTGAAATGTAAAAGGTGATTAGGAGGTTTCAAAAGAAGTGAGAGGAACCACTATTTAATTGTCCAGAAAGGATATGTGAAGCTCTTATTCTGTTGTGAGGGAATGAATTAATAAGATAAAAGCTTTGTAGTCCAAATTTACAGTAAAAAAAAAGAAAATACAGTATAACCATGCATTTATTTAGAATGTGAATAATAAAATCTGTATTCCAATATCAGATAGTATTAAACTTTCCATTGGGCATCTTTATAAAACCTTATAGTAATTGGATTTTGTTTTTGAAATTTTTAAAGGAATGGCCAAGCATATATTGGTTAACCAGTTATGTCTCTCTCTTTTTTTTTTTTTAAATTTATTTATTTATGCTTACAGAACTGGGATATAGGCCAGAGGTGTGGTGAGTGAGAGGATTCACCAGACAGAGTGGAGAGCAGAACAGGCAGATGGACGAAGTACACTGCTGAGGGGAGCAGCGGGTGGGTCAGGAGAGGTCTGCCACGCCATGTGGGTTAGCTCCCTGGCTGGGGATCAAACTTGTGTTGCAGTGGCTTCGGAGATCTTCATAATGCGGTGCTTAAATCTGTTGTGCCACGAGGGAGAGCCCCCAGTTATGGCTCTTAATAAAAACCAATTTTTTTCTTTGCTTTACTTTTCAGTTTATGCATACTCTGGGAAGGAACTTGTATGTTATAATCAGTTCTCTCTCTTCCTTGTTGGCTCTGGTGGCTTTGGCGGAAAACGGACATCAGACAAAGTCAAGGTAGGCTATAACTTCATAGGAAAATATTTGTGTAGTTAAATTAAGGATTCTTATCTATATTTTGAACTTAGCCCACTATAATATGTATAGTTTCATAGAGAAGAGCTGTAGTAAATCACATTTTTTAAAATCAGAATATATTTATTAGATTGGAAATGCTGTTATGTAATATATAGAGAAGTCTGTTTAAGGTAAGTATAGTGTACCTGAGACAGGTATAGTAATATTTTACACTGTTATAGAAACTTCACAGGACCCAGAAGTCTTTACAAAAACCTAACACAGACAAGTGAGCCTGTATAAATTAAAATATTTTTATAAGACAAATCTAGTTACTCTTTACGTCTCAACTCTATCTAAAAGCTTACTTTTCCAAAAAGTATTTTGCAACTTGAATTTTATACTAATTTAACCTAACTTTATCTCTAATTTATTTGAAGTAGTAATATTATACTGTTGTAAATATGCTGGAATAAATAAACCTGCATTGAGAGACACATTCTAGAATGATGTCCTGGGGACTTCTCCCCATTGAAACAAGCATAATGGGTAAATACATTTAAAAATACATACTTAAAATCTGAAATTACAACAAGACAAGTATTTATCCAAGAAAATTGTCTTGGTGAGACTAGTGAGCATTTTTGACATTTGAGCCTCAACTGTCATTCCTTCCTTCTGTCCTCTTCTCCTGCTCAGCATGACAGAAACTCTGCTTCAAACATTTAACCAAGGACTCAGGATCCCTCTGCCCCTAGCTCCCTAACTAGGGCCACACTGTCATCCCACAAAAGGGCAGATCACTAGTTTTTCCTCCCACCAGCTTTGTTCTGTGTCACAGAAACTATTCCAGATCATAGTGACTAGAAGGGGCTCTCTTCTTCTACCCAACCCCAATTTGTTGGTTGGAGATGTTTTCCCATCCATGCCAGGGTGAGGGTACTGGGGCCCTGATCACCCTTTCCTAGCTTGCTTACGGGTGGAGGTTCCATGCAGGGAGAGTTAAGCTAAGAACATCAGAAGCTGACCCCCTACCTTTCCCCCTTTTTGTGAAGTGAGGCTGACACTTAGAGGGAGGTGGGCCACTGTCCTTGCCCCTGTCTCTGTGAAGTGTGTGGTACACAGGTTTTACCCAGGGGACAAGGCAGGATGTAATAGTAAAGATGCTGAAGCTCTTCCCAAAGTAAATGACTGATTTCTGAAGCATTTACTTGAAAGCTCACAGTAAGAGTACTCTCAAAAAGAAGATTAATTTGGCCCTCCCTGGTGGCGCAGCTGGTTAAAGCGCAGCACAAATAAGCTTAAGCCACTTCCGCAGTTCGATCCCAGCAGTTCGATCCCCACCTGCCCCGGAGGTGACCACATGGTGTTGCAGACCTCTCCTGACCCGCCCACTGCTCCCCTCAGCAGCGCACTTGTTGATCTGCCTGTTCTGCTCCCCACTCTGTACCTGGTGAATCCTCTCACCCTCCGCATATCTGGCCTGTACCCCAGTTCTGTACAAATAAATAAATAAATCTTTAAAAAAAAAAAGAAGATTAATTTAGTAATCAACAATTAAGTGCAGCTGGTAACTCCATGAGAAAACTAAACTACCTCGCTAGAATTTTTCTAGATAGGAGCATGGAAAAGTTAGCTAAGAAGAGCCCTTTCTTATTCTTATGAAAGAAGAGCCTTTCACATAAAGCCTTTAAGACTTGAGTCTAAGACTACTACTCTGCAAAGAAGCCTGCCCTTAATTGATCTTTGCAGCAGTCCATGCCTTAGGGAGCTGTGGGAAATGAGAGCAATCATCTGGGAGTTCATGGAGCCTGACTGGTGGGTGTGATACCAAAAGACGCAGGTGGTAGAACAGCTTAGGGAGAGACAAGGACCAAGAGCTTTGCTCAAACTGGTCATCCCTTGTGACTGCCCCTCTGAGGAACAGCATGAGAGGCTACAAGCTCGGGGGATACAGACTTCACTAAATGGGTCTAGCCAAGCAACTATCAACAGCAGCCTTGGAAGGGAAAGGCAACTACTACTTAAGAGTTGCTATATATATTGTCTAAAATATCCAGATATCGCAGTGTGATGGTGACTCCTCTTATAGGGAGAATCAATAAATAGAAATTATAAAGAAATCAAAATTCTGGAACTGAAAATACAGCTGAAATGAAGAACTTACTAAGAGCTTCAGTGGTGGATTTTACTTGACAGAAGAATCAAAAAGCTTGAAGATAAAACTTCTTACCTGTTTCTGTCTCAAGAATAGAAAGAAAGAAAAGCAAGTAAAAAAAATAACGAGTCTCCAGATGTTGGGAAAACATTAGCTGTCTGAACATTGATGTAATGGGAGTACCAGAGGAGGAGAAAGAATAGGAATAAATTGAAGAAACACTGATTTGAATGAAAACATCAGGCTACACATCTGAGAAGCTCATTGAACTCTGAATAGGATATAAATAAAAATAAGGAGATCCACATCTTTCCTTAGTAAAGTACATTGAAAGTGTTTAAATCAGGTATGAATTGTCTCATCCTTCCAGTTCCTATTTTTTGCACTGGAGGAAGAGTTAAGAGTTTTCTCTTTGTGACCTGGAGAATGAACCTGGTTATATAATTCTTCCCATTTAAAAAGGGTCTTCAGGAAAATCATAATGTAGGCAAAGCTAATGGTTAGGAAAATTTAAATACTATCTCTTATACATAACAAATACCAGTTTGAGTAAAGAGATAACAATGTTTAACAAGTGATTTTTTCAATTCCAGGTAGCTGTAGCCATACCTAATAGACCTCCTGATGCTGTACTTACAGACACCACCTCACCTAATCAGGTAAGAATAAATTTTTGAAAAGTAATAAAGCATTCTGATGATAGTATTTTTAGATTTGTGTCTCTGACCCCCTTGAGTTTTGTGAGTCCAAAAGTAGTGACTGTGTCCTTCAGCCTAGTGAAAATGATGACACTGCTTCTGTGGTTGTAACTCATTCTTTCTAACTTGTTACTTACCAAGTCTTTTCTTCACTAGATAGTAAAATGAAACATAAAATGACTTTTAATTAGTCAGTTCATAAATGGAGCATACTTTGTTGACCATGGAGTAATAACCTGACTTGAAGAATTTTACTCTAGAGAGTAGAATAAAAAGAGTAGAATAAAAAGAACTAAAAGACAAATTTAAATTGTTATTTCTTCTGTTGGAGCAAAAAGCTGCATTGCTTTGTTCCCGAGCATGTTTTTCTAACTTTAGTGTATAGGCAAAATAAAGCATCTTAGAAAACACACTTGTTTTGTATTTGGCATAAGTGATTGGTTATCCAATGGAGGAGATTAAATGCCCTATCTTCTAACAAATTCTGTAGCATGCAAAGATGCACATGGGAAAGAAAAGATAGCCATAGATGAGAAAAACAACTTTGCTTTTGTCAGACCTAAAGGTTCTTCTTTAAGCTGGCCAGAGTGCTAAACATGCGGTTACAGAACAGGATATGTAGAGTTCTGAAGCAATGCTGTGACAGAACAACAGCAAATTTGTTAATAAATTTTGATATGCTTAATATAAAACTTCTGTAAGATTTATGTGTGGTGGTAAATAGAAATGTAGTTTCATGAGCCAGAAAGAATTAAGGCTGATCTCTAAGTAGATGCCAGAAAGGACTGTACTCTTTTATCTCAGGGTAGTTTTTACCATCAAGTGTTTTTCTCATCCTGTGCTGTTTCTAGTCAGTTTATTAACAATGCACCCATATTTATGTTTAATTAAAAATTCACAGAAAAGTTAATTTTATTAGGACACTAAAGAACAGGAAGCAATCCATGGTTTCACAGTTCAGAAGAACCACCAATGTTCTTTTCTTCTGTTGATACTTGGGATACTGGAATAATGAATGTATCTGTTGTAGAGAAGAAAAGCTGAATAATTTGCAACGCTTGAATTTCTACATAGATCAGATGGAGAGATTTCCTTTTTTTCACTCTTTCAGATCAACAGAAACTTACTATTTTTAGCAGAGTACTTTGCAGTGTGACAGAGAACAATTTATTTTTTATTTTAATTTTAATATACTAGTTTATTGTCACATCATTTTGTGCCTTTTTCCATCTCAGTTATAATTCCCGTGGGCTTCCCATCACCAAATCACCCGAGAACAATTTTTAAGATAAGAAATTTTGAAAATTTAAATAATAATAATAAATGATCCCATAGAGGTTCCTGACCATTTCATGTCATCTGACCTTATGAGAATATGATGAAAGGTACATACTATTTCTTTAAAAAAAGGAAAGAAAAAATTCCCATTAAGTTTTACATAAATTTCAGTGATTTTTGTGGTTTGGAGACTAGATCGGTGCCAGGGGAGACTGAAGTCAGAAGAAATGTTAACTGTTGTCAGGGAGTTGAAAGGATACTTGGAAACATAAGACATAGATGCTGGGATATGAGGCAACAAATAATTAAGTACAAGGCTTTGAATTGTAGCATAAGGGGTGTAGACGTTCAGAGAAGGGATATGCATTCAGGAGCAGTGTATACAAGAGTTTGGTGGAAAAGACAGGATGTCACTAAGTGATAGTGCTATTGTCTACTCTTTTACCAAGTTCTAGGACTTGCCGTGTATGTGTGGCCTGTGAGGAGGTAGGAAGTAGTGACAGGAGACTGTAAGAGAAGACAAGAGCATGACATATGATCAAGGAATGAGAATTAACATTCACACTGGAGATAGTGTTTTAGAAGCAGAAATAGAGAAGAAATTAAAATTAAAAAAGTAAAAATTTAAATAAGTAATATTTGAATCAGTAAGAAAATCAGCAGTCAAATTCTTGGCTCTACTGACATCACTCTGCGATATTCTATTTATCATGTCTCGAAGAATTTCTTCATCTTGAAACTGCTACATCATTACAAGTGTACTTAATAGTTTTAAACAGAAAATTCATTGGCAGTGATTGAGAAAGAAAAAAAAAATGGATAGCAGAAATAAGACTTTGCAATGGGGAAAATGAAAGCAGATTATTTGTATTGTCTCCAGGTCTTATAACATATATTCTAGCAGTTATCTATTTTTGATAAATATTTATATCTTCATAAATGATAGCCATTACTATAATTTATAAGATTTTAGCAAAGAATAAGACAATCAATTTTTTAAAGTTAGTACTAGTATTTTTATTTCACAGATATCATTCCTATAAATTAAACCTTTTTTCTAAAGAAATATTAAAGGAATAAGAAAAAAATTCATGCTCTTTCAGCCATAGCATGCTTCCTGTAGACAAAAGAAATAATAAAAACAAAAAACCTATTATGAGAAATGACTAAAGTCAATTACTGGATTTTTGATTTAAGTGGAATCATGTAAACTAAGCATTCTCCAAATAATAAGGAACACTGTCAAAACCTTGTAGCTCTGTAATGTACCTTTTCATTTGTCTCTAGCATGGTGATGTGTGCTTACCTAGTATTTCATTGCTTATAAGATGTTTTTTTTTTATTATCATTTAATCCCACTTCTTATTCAGAATATTATACATGCATTGATTCCCGATTTTAGTTCTGTTTAGTAGACTCATAAAAGGAAACACTGAATCTTTGAAAAAGTAATTTGTAGAACTGTCATATGAGGTGATAGAGGAGGGAAAACTTATTAAGATTGTCAAACACATTCGATGCTTTTGGAGTTATGAGAAATATTATTTTCTGTTTGTTAAATTTGTTTAAAAAAGAATAAACAATAATTTAAAAAAATCAGTAGTTAAAGAAAGCCAAATGTGCTGACCTTGCTAGTTCACTCAGGGTTTTAATAGCCTTGAGAAGCTTAACACAGCAGTTGATGTGAACCGGGAAAGCCTTGAGGCATATCCAGAGGAGGCAGGTTAATTTACAGATAAATACTTACTACTAGCTTTTTTATAAGTTTCTCCCCATTAACTCTGAAAATTATCAATAGTTTGAACAATGCATAATTTAAACTCTAAAATTTTGTAACTGTCCCCTATTGCTGTTTACATCTTTCTGCTAATCCCAACTTATCTAAATAAAGAAGTGATGTGAAAATTTGGACTAAGCAGAAACTTCAACTTACTGGCAAGCTAACAGTGTTTCCTTGCAAGATGAGCTGATGTTCAGGAATATAATGTACTAGGAGAGTAAAATTTTCTGACAAGTCTGATGACTTGCTTTAAATTGAAGTGTCAATTTAAAGCACCCATTATAAAAGTTGGTATAAATTTTGGTTGGTTAAAAGAGACTATAAGCGTTCATCTACTCTTTTTACCCATTGTGTTTTAATGAGAATAGATTGTTGGATTTTGTTTTTGAATTTCTTCGTTGGCAGTGAAACTGTTAGACCCAGTGGTAGCTCCTGTGTTACTTCCCATGATTTGACAGTCTTAGTCTTCTCTCACCTACCTGATTGCATTGGCAGGTGTTATGGAAAGTATTTGATTTACAATTAATCTTTTTTGGCTAGAAGTTTTTTTTTTTTTTAATTCAGAGCTTCGATTTGGTATATAATGATGCATTTCTTACAATCACCTGTCATATTCCCTTTTTTTTTTTCCTAAAAAAAAAAGCCCTCTAAGAAAACATAAGCACTAGTTACTTTTATAATTCTCTCTCCATAGGCTGCTTTGTATCGCCTTAGTGGAGACTGGAATCCCTTGCACATTGATCCTAACTTTGCTGGCTTAGCAGGTGAGTTGCTAATAGTACATACTAAAGTATTAGGCCAGTTATCAAATAATCTAGTGTAGTTAAACACATTGTTTCTTCTGGTGGTTCGAAAAACATTTAAAAAAAAATACAACAGCTTTTCCTAACTACATGTATGGAAAAGACATGAAAGGGTAGGAATGAGGTTTTCAGAAAATGGTTCATTTCATTTCTTCAACTTTAGATTACAGCGAAGGGAAGCTCCTGCTCGTGCAGGTCTAGGATAGGATCTTGGGGTGGGTGTCTGAGGTAACGATGGACTGGGACTTTGAAGGAGAAAGCAGGGACGTGAGGGCTAAGGAAGTGGACAGGGAAATCACAATGGACTCTTTCAGTGTTACAACCAAAGCTAAACAAAGCAACTTTCTGTGTTCACAGAATCTCTCACAATTCATTCTTGTTTTTCTCCTTTCTGTTTTCTTTTTTATAATTTTCTCCCAGGAAGTATTATTTATGACATATTTTCCTTTTTTTTTTTAGATGATAGAACTCATGTCAGTACAGTATCAAGATGCGTTTTTAAAATCCCAAATTAACTGTTCTCAGTTTTTAAATATGAAAAGTGCCAATATCTGACTGCATTCTCTCATTTGTTAGGTTTTGACAAGCCCATATTACATGGACTGTGCACGTTTGGGTTTTCTGCCAGGCATGTTTTGCAGCAGTTTGCAGATAATGATGTGTCGAGATTCAAGGCAATTAAGGTATATGCATGCGTTGCTCATAATTTCAGCACTTTTTTTTTTATTTTAAGATAAGAAAAGGGGTTGTAGTAACTATATTTTAAAGATATTATACTGAAGCAGTGTTGACTCTGCAATCAGTGTTTTCTTTTTATAGCTCTAAATAGCCTTTTATGCACGAATCATGAATGTTCACATGATTACAAATTTAATAAACTGGATTATCTTAAAAATTAATTGAACCACACATCAACATATATAACTTTAAAAAATCTTGCGATTTTCCATTATCTTTTTTTTTTTTTTTTACTGTTTTGCAGTTTGACCTAATTTAATTGAAAATGTTAAGTGGCTTTGTTTGAACTTTAATAAACATAAACTTAACATCAGTTTGGTAACTGCATATTAGGGTTTATCTATTAAAAATAACAAAGGTATCTGAGTACACAATATCTTTGAAGAAGTAAAAGTCAAAAGATAATATGCTAAAAAAAAGTTTAAGACAGTGTCAACTCCAAAAACTGATTTGTTTCTGTGCTATGTAGCAGTGCAAACACATTTTCTGATGCCTTGCCCTTAATAGTACTTTATTCTCATGCTTTTCACTTTATTGTAACAACATTTTTATCCACTAATACACAGAACAACTGAAGTAGCATAACAAATTATGAAGTAAAAAATGGTATTACTAAACACCTATCCCAGATGTCATTCCCAGACATAATTAGTAACACCTTTAACAAATTATTTTAAGTTCTAGTGATTGCATAATTCTAGTATAATTATGCTTCTGTGTCTTGATTTGTCAAGATTAAAAACTATTGACCCCATATTTTGAAATACCGAAAATTAGCTCACGGATAGCTATATACTTTCCTAGCAAGTTTTGTTGTGATACTGTTTTTAGTTCTCTAATAAATTTAAATGCATTTCATCCTCTTCTGTCTCCTTTGATGCTGTCTAACTTTAAAATCATTCCTTCCATAAGTAGAAAAGTTTCATTTTTCAAACATTTTTAATTCCAGCAATCATTTTTGTTATAGGCTCGTTTTGCTAAACCAGTATATCCAGGACAAACTCTACAAACTGAGATGTGGAAGGAAGGAAATAGAATTCATTTTCAAACCAAGGTATGAAAAATGACATCAGATGTAATCTGTTTTGTTACTTTCTTCACCACACCCTATAATTTTGTTCATGTTAGTACTCGTTTTTGAGACATAATGTAGAATATCTTTTTAAATCAATGGCAGCCGTCACTGAAAATAAGATACCTATAGGTGCTTTGTTTTTTATAATTTCTACTTTATGCTGAACTACAGGGGTGTCTATGTATTAGAGTGTATCTTCTGATAGGGTGATAGGGTGATGTGATTTCTGGGCGAGGTTGTTAGCTGTACTCCAGTGAAATTCTAAAAGGAATGTAATCTTTTGATTTGTAAATTTTTTAAAGATAAATTTTGTTAACTCTGTTAGCCAACCTGATGTAGTTTTTATCCTGATTATTTTGTGCTGTGTGTATGGTTTGTGTTGTAAAAATTTATGTCACCAAAAAGAATGACAACTTCCACCTATCGACTACCTCTATTCCGGAGGCATCTGAAAGTTGTTTCATGTAAGTTTTGTTGTTTGAATAAGCTCATTAACTCTGGAAGGGGACACAGTGGACTTGGTGGAGGACCGTAATTGTGGTGGGGCAGTATACACCCGATGGATATGATCCTCAACATCATGGACAACACTGTAAACCAGTATCGCCCCAATTGAAAACTAAAATAAAAATACAAACACTGAGTTCATTACAGGTTTTATTTTTACCACAGTCCTAGCAATGAACAGTTTAGAAATAATTTCTGTAAATCAAACTTAAAAGAAATGATTACTCCCGGGCCCCCATACTGAATTATTCCTTTTCTATTAATTACTTTTAGAGGTTTTTCTTCCCTTTACTATCTCATTTTCTTCGTGTTGTATTTTAAGAAACATTTTTAAACCAGTTTTTCAAAATGATATTCTTGACATAGTTAAAAGGAAGTAATTACTAAGTGTATTTTGCTCATATTTGCTCTATTCCATATTTGTACTCTCTACAGTTATTCAAAAATCTCTGTTTCTCTTAAAGTCTGATGGGAAGTAGTAATGGGAAAATGATCTTGATCATTTAAAAAAAATAGTCTTTTAGTGAATATTTTGATAAAAAAGTCTTGAATATTTTGATAAAAGATCTTCTAAGCATTAGTTTATTCTGTTTTCTATTTGAAATTGAACTAGAATTATGACTTTAAAGTGGTCTGCTCTTAGCCAGTTTTGTTCTATATTAACAGAGCAGCTGCATTTTGAGTACCACTCCTTCATGTGATATTGCGCCCTACCCTTTACTATTTATGAACATTTAGCAGTTCTCAACCTAATTCCCAATTGCCATCATTAGACACACTTATGTTAACAAAGTCTCCCAACTACCAATGACCTACTTCACCCACACCATTTAATTTGGAATTCTTTGAATTGAGATCTGGTCTTAGGTATTTTATTAGAAGTGCCAGTGGATTCTACAGTCAGGGTTAGTAATAATTACATCAGTAAGCCTTTTTTTCTACTGATCTTGTCATCTAACTTGAACTGTTAATGTAATGTCTTTTTTTGTGAAGAAAAAAATTGCAGTTTTTTAGAAGGCTTTATGCTGTTTTACAGTGAGATTGTGTCTTCATTGAAATAACCACAGCAGATTTTCCTTTTCTTCTCCCTTATAAGATCCAAGGAACTGGAGACATTGTCATTTCTAATGCTTATGTGGATCTTGTGCCGACAACTGATAAGTTAGCTAAAACACCCTCTCAGGTAGGTTATAAAAGTTGGTATCCTAGTCATTACCTGATTTATGGATTTCATTTCATGTCATTTTAAAAATGTTTAGTCTGCTTAGAAAAGTAAGAGATGTAAAAAATTCTTATTTCTTGGACTAAAGGACCTTCAGCACTGTTTGAAATAAAAAAATATTTTGAAAACTTAGGAATTTTTTTTAAGTTTTTTGAGGGTTTTAGGCTATATAACAAGGAAAAGCATTCATTTTCTAGTTTTAGAGTGACTTGGTCTAGTGAGAAATCTTAAGCAAAAAGTTTGTTAAAGAAAAATAAAGTTATATTCTGTACTATTTTTATGATTTACAAATGTGTATAAAGTTTTGTTTGCAAAGACAAAAAGCAATAGTATGTATTTTTATTAAAACATTTTTATTAAAATATTTTCTCTGTTATAAGGTGGGGCTTATACTGAACATGAGTATCTTCTTTCTCCAAATACTTAACTGTGCAGTACTGAGGTTTTCATACCCATGAACTTGTTTTTAATTAGCTGTACTATCACATCACTGAGTGAAGATTAAAATCCTTTAAGCATCTTAGATCAAAAACGTTAGCATCTTAAAGCTGGAAAGAAACGAAACTTAATGCCATTTAGTTTTATTGAAAAAAAAAAAAATGTGGGTTCTCCCTGATGGTGCAGGGTTAAAGTCTCAGAGCTGTCAACCTATCCACAGCCACCGCAGCCTGAGTTCTGTCTCCGGCCAGGGAGCTGACCCACATGGTGCGGCAGACATCTGTCTCTCCGCTGCTCCCCTCAGCAATATATTTCAATGGAGCCACCTGTTCTGCTTTCTACTCTGTTTCTGATGAATCCTTTCACCTCCTATACCTCTGGCCTACACCCCAGTTCCTCTATGCAAAAATAAATAAAAATTTTAAAAAGTTAGAAAGAAAGAAAATGAGACAATGGTTTATTCAATATTTTTCTCCTGTAGTTAGTTATGACACAGTTTGTCTAGTTCTTAGTGTTGTTTTAAAATATTATTTCTAAATTCTGATAAAAGTAAAATCCTCTTAGTAAGAGAACTGAGATTCTGGATGATGTAAATAAATAGAAGCAAAATATTAAAGAATATTAATTAAAGTCTCTTGTTAAAAAAATAAGGCTAGTTTGCCTGACTTATGTACAGGTTTTAAGTTCACTTTTTGTGTGTGTGTGAGCATATATCTGGTGATAATTTTTCCTCTTGAGTCATTTTTCTAGAACTTTTAACATGAGATTTTCTCTTTTTGCTAGGGTGGGGAGCTTCAGAGTACCCTGGTATTTGGGGAAATAGGCCGCCGTCTCAAGGATGTCGGGCAGGAGGTGGCGAAGAAAGTCAATGCAGTGTTTGAGTGGCATATCACAAAGGGTGGCAACATTGCATCTAAGTGGAGTAAGTGATTTCTCTGACTTGCTAGTATCCTAAGGTAACTCTTAGTAAACAGAGCTAAGGGGTCTTTTCATGATAAAAATGTGTCTCTTCAAAGGTAGTTAAGTCATACCTCCTCAGTAAGTTGTTTTTCATGTGAAGTAACATGTTTTAGGGCCAAAGACATATATGATTTTTAGAAATATAGGAAATCAATACAAATGAAAATAAACTGTTTTAAAAAATCTTACTGATACCTGTAATTACACATTTACTGTAGTATTCTTGGCTATATGCTTCATTATCTAATCTTTGCATTCTCTTAAAACATAAAGCACATATATCAGGCAAAATGAAATATTTTCAAGTCATTTGCTTATATTTAAAAATTGACCTTCATTAACTTAGAAAAAGGGTTTTTCCTTTTGTTTCCCCCTGAAAGAATGGTAGTATTTAAATTCTGTTAATAACTATTTACTGGTGTCTTATAGTTTTTATTTCTTTTATCATCTCTTCTGGTCCTTACAATGAGATTTTAATTGTACAACACTTGATGTGATCTATTGTTTGATTTGATTCTCATTTATGCAACCATCCTTAGTTTTAGTTTTTGGTTTTTATTTTTTTCAATCTTTGTATCACTGAGCTAAATCACTATTGCTGGCATCAAAAACCATCTAGGTCTTCTGGCTTCTAGTATCTTAGGAGACTATTGTATGTTGGCATCTATTTTGATTTTGATACTTAATGATTTAAAGTAGATGATTGAATGCTTGGACTTAGGAAATACCTTTTTTTTATGAGCAGTTGCTAAGGTTTTATTAAAGATTTAGTAACCAAATAGTTTTTGTTTTAAATTGCTGTTGCTTGCTTAGCTTTTTCAACTCACAGGGGACCAAAAACCTGGCTACAGAGAACAGGGTTAATTGTCTCAGGTCAACATGGCTGGGCTCAGACGGCACTGGAATTGCTTAAGTTAGTGACCTTGACCAAGTGTTTGACCTGGAAGGCACGCCTGGAAGTGTTTGATCAGGTCCAGTCAAAAAGATCCTGGACCATGTCCATCTCCCCTGTTCCCTCACACCTCCTGTCATGCAGTTAACATCAACAGCAAGTCTCTAGACATGTTGTGGGAAGGGAGGGGAATCTAAAGAGAAATACGAGAATTTCGTTACCAGTGCTGGGTCTGGTAAGGACAAGGATGTCCTGCAAGAACTCTGCACAGTCTTGTGGACTCCACCCCCTACTCCAGCTTTCTGAATTCCACCCACCACTCCAGTGATTGGAAAACTACAGCTCCCAGCAGCACCAAGGAGAGAACTGTGAGGACCCAAGGTCGGAGCTAAGCAAGAATTCTGGGACTTTGGGGGTTATATAGTAAGCTTTTTTTTTTCCCCCACTTGTCACTCTGGAGAGGTAACGGTTCTCTCTCTCTGGAGCAACTGCTCTCAGACCGTGTGATTGGGGGCTAGCAGCATTAGTTTGGGACTAGAGCTCAAGTTAGCTGTGCTGGTAAAGTATTCCAGCTACTTTGTATCCCTCTCTCTTTCCCTGGGTTGTTTCCTTTTCCCCTTTTTTAATAATAAACCCATTATCCTTTCTGTGTGTGCCTGCAGAAAATTACATGTTGAGCACACGGATGAGGCCCCACAGACAGGCAGCCCAAGTCCACTCTGGGATACCCTGTTTAGGGTTGATTTTGACTGGAGGAAGAGGCATCAAAGCTGTGATTTTTATGGTTAGGTGCCCTGAGGCCTGTCATATGTGGTCACCTAGGAGCAGGAGAGCTGCCTTGGCCAGGGACATTGTGCCTTCTGCCTCTTTGGTTGGATATCATCTGAGAGGGATTAGCGGATCCTTGCTCTTTCTGTAGGCTGCGAGTGGGCATGGAGAGATGTAAACCATTGTTTTGCCGAAGAAATCAGAGGGAGGCTTCAGAAGTCATAAGCTCGCTTTTACCTTATTTGTACTTCTGGAGAGAATGTTTTGATTATGACATTTGCCTTAGAATGATTAAAAACCTTGTGGCCCAGAGATATTTCCTCCTTTAGTTTGGAGTTAGAGGTTGAGGTCAAGATAGAAGCCTGTGTTATTTCACTAATAATATCTGTTAAAACATTAAGAACAATGACCTTGTTTGAGTCCTTTTATGTTACTCTGTGTAACTAATGACCTGGCTGTGTTTGAATGCTTTCCCCAATATCTATACCTTCAGGTAGTTAAACTTTTGAATAGACACTGTCCTTGGTCCTTTTTTTAGGGGTGTTTCGTTTAAGTTAAAAGGGTGAAGCTGGACATCAGATGGAGAAATAAATCTCTGAATTCCCTTTGAACAGTCGGTTACTTGTCACAGTTGTCTTACTGTATTGTGATCGCTTTTAAGAACTGCAGGTTGATTTATTTCTAATGTCTAGTGTGGAAGTAGACTGGCTGAACATGTTAAATAAATGTTAAAAGCCACGTAGATGGAATCAGATGTTTCCCTTTAAAAAAAAGTGCTGAAATTGGTGCCTTTCTATCTATTACATTTGCTGTATAGATAGCAACATTTATTTTTTATTCAGTATGAGTGAAATATTCAGGAAAAACACCATTGGAAAATTCATGAGTAGACAGTGTGATTTCTAAATCTAGCCAACAGTGTTTTCTTGTAAACCCTTTGACTCTTTTCCTATTGTTCTAACAGTAAAAATGTCATAGAAATGAAGCATGACAGGAAAGCATAAAGAAGATAAAGAATCAGAGGCTTTATGTTACCTATAGAACAGTCTATTTTTTTCCTGCAACTTGAGAAACAGAGTAAAATAAATTTTTTTTCCCCTATAAATCACTGGTAGTAAAACCTATCCTGAATGTAACATGATGTGGTCGACTGCCTTTATCTCACATAGTGCGAGTTGAGTATTAAAATCATTGATTTGCTTATCTAGTGTTGTTGTCATTGTCTCTCTTGATACATAAGATACAATTTATGCCCCATTTTCATCCTGAAATCTGAAACATTCTGAGTTCCAAAACTTCTGGACTGCAGGACTTAAAAGAAGGAATTGGGAACTTATTCATATAATACAGATAATTCCGATAGGACAGGAATGGTAGGAGACATGGAAAAGGTGCTGTTGGCTTTTTTAGAATGGAAGGATTGCTTCATTTAACAAATATTTGAGTATTTCCATATGCCAGATCCTCTGCTAGGTTGCAGATTACAAAAACAGGCTCACCTGTCTTTATGGCACTTCATTGTAGTGTTCTTTTTCAGACATTGTGCTTTTCACAAATTGAAGACTTGGATGGCGCTGGGTAGAGTAAGAATATTGGTGCCATTTTGACAGTAGCATGTGCTCACTTCAATTTTTAGTTATATAGTATTTTTAAGTTAAGATTGAAGCATTATTAGACCATTAGACATAGTGGATTTATTTATTGCCATGGCCGGGAATTGAACTTGCATTATCTTCAAGGTACGTTTGTATGAAAAGACAGGATGTCTTTTACTGTCCACATGAATAACAGTAGCAGTGGCAGTGTTTCAGGAATGTTTTAAGTACTGGAATTTTGCGGAAACAAGGGTTGTTGAAATACAGGCTAAACGGAAGGAAGACCTAAGTCAAGGCAGTGGCAGTAGTGGAAAGGAGAGGCCTGTCTGGATCTATTGCTAAGACAGAACCGACTGACGTGCCTGCTGTGATGGCAGAAACAGGTGTCAGAAGGGAAGGCAAGGCTTGTGCCTGCATGACTGAGGATGTTGACTCCGTTATTATTAGGTGGGGGAAACATCAGAGGAGAGAGTGGGGGGGGAGGGAGGTGTTACGCTGCTGTGCTGAATCTGGAGTAGACAGCCATCTGATTTAGATTGTGGGGACTGAGCATCTGGAACTTAGTGGCCCCTTCACAGCTGAGACAGTTCAGACTGTGTTTGTGGGAGTCCTGGTTGGAACTCAGTCTTCTCTTTACCAGTCTGCTGCATGGCTGGCAGGAAGAAACTGCCGGTATTTCTTTCTTGGTGCTACAAGATCATCTGCTCTTCATAGTGTATAGAATATTGGCTCCAGTATTTCCACTCGTTTCTAAATAAAGTGAGCATTTAGAATTTGCCTATGAATTTTAAATATTCAATGTGTTGTAACTCCAGGTGTAACTATGATGCCATGTTTCCCAATAGGAATTTATTTGTTCTTGCTAATAGCTATAAAGCAGCCATTTAACTGAACCTTTTGACAAAAACAGATTTAATTTCCTGTGATAATGATTCAGTATTGTTGAGTGAAATTATTTTTCCCCTTAGAATGATAGGTTTAGGCTGGCTTCCATCAAGCAGTTAGGTTGTTTTTCTCCTAACTGCTAAAGGAAATTTGGTTTTCTTTTTCCATTATAGCAACATAATGGAAGTTACATATTGGAATTTACATTTATATAGCAAAATTATAAAACAATGCATTTTGGCTTAAATATACTCAAGCAATAAGGTCAGTTGGATTTTAAAATATATGTGCCATAATTAATTGTATAGGGCCAAATCTATATATATAGAGATTATATATATATATGTGGGCTAAATCTTGTTATCCAATTATGCAGCATATTACCTGGCTGAATGAAGGTTTATTTAAATGTAAGAGACTATCTCTTTAATCTTGGAAATTTGCCAGAATGTGAAAGACTATTATGAAGACTTGGTAACTAACATTCTTTTAAAGTCAGCATTTATTCTTGAGGATACCATTTGATTGTCGGCGCTCATTAGTTCCTGGGTTAGTGCTCATCTTGTAGCAGTCAAACCAATTCACATCTACCAGCAAAATACCAGTAACCCTCTACCATAATCTGTGGAGACCCTGCCCCTTTGAACGTGGAAATGTTTTAAAATTCACCTTTCTTTCTCTGTTCTTATCATCGAAGAACTTTTTAATAAAAACATCTCAAAAAAAGGATTTGAAATTTTTTCTGAAGTCATTAATTTAAGAGTGTAGAATAATATCTCATTAACTTGGAAACTCTAACAATGCCTTTATTTTCACTAGTTTATTTTATTCTCGTATTTTGAGGAGCACATGGTAGTCTTTGGTTTCTTCCTTTTCCTCTCAGCTATTGATCTGAAAACTGGTCCTGGACAAGTATATCAAGGCCCTGCAAAAGGCTCTGCTGATGTGACATTCATACTTTCAGATGAAGATTTCATGGAGGTAGTCCTGGGAAAGCTTGACCCTCAAAAGGTAATGTGCTTTGACTGTTCCTGTGCTCATTGTTATTGCTTCCTGTATTGCAACTGTAGTTTTCAGTCTTATTTGTCAGATAGATAGCTTACAACTCTGAAGAAGACACAGTTGATAATAATACTTGAAATGGCAGATATGATATTTTTTAATGGAATTTTAACGAATACGTTTTGAGACTGAATTTTTGGGTAAAGTTTTTCAACATACAGTAAAATGATACAGAACACACATAGGCCTTTTTAATTTATTTTGCTGTTAGTTCAAAGGTGAAAAACCATGTGTTAAGTAAACATTTTATAAAATTAGACATTCTTTCCTGGTATATAAGACTAAGAATCGGTCTTAGTTGACATTGAAATTAGAAATCAAAGAGTGAGTGGTACAGAACAACCAGTGCCTTCATGTGAGCCATTTAGAGGCATTTTCAGTAGAAAATCATGAGACGAGTGTACCCTCTCTTACTAACACTATTAGTTAATGCTGTTCTGAAACTGGGTCAGTCTAAAAACACTTAAATGATTATCATTTAGGATAGAGGAGAAAATAATGTCATTTTCAAGACATCATTTTGTAGTTAGGAATGGACTATTCAGTGAGGAGACTTGGCAGTTGTACAGGAAGTAGTGATGCTTCTCATTCCATAGGCCTATGGCAATACCACACAGAGTAGAATCAAATGTAAAAGATAAAAAGCAGAAGCACATACTTCATGAAAGTCTTAATGATGACTCTTAGGAAATTCTAATTAATATCAGGATCCTTTTAAACTCAGTTGGTTCCATTACCGTCCCCTCCACCTCTACACTATTATTCCTCACTTTCTTCAGCTATCAAAGCTTTATCTCCTAGTATGCAGTTTTACCCTCTCTGTGAAAAACTTTATCTGTGTTCGTGAATTCTTTCAAGATTCATGAATATGATTTCAACAGATGATTCGTAGATCATTGATCTCACTTCTAATATCTCTTATCCCACTCTACATTAACTTCATTCCTTATTAACCAGTATAAAGCGCACAACTTCCACTATCTCTTTTAAAAAAGCCTTATTGGGCCCTCCCTGGTGACGCAGCGGGTTAAAGCGCAGAACTGAGAATCTGAAGCCGCTTCCGCATGAGTTCGATTCCCGCCTGCCCCCGGGGTGACCACATGGCGTGGCAGACCTCTCCTGACCCGCCCGCTGCTCCCCTCAGCAGTGTACTTCGTCGATCTGCCTGTTCTGCTCCCCGCTCTGTCTCTGGTGAATCCTCTCGCCCTCCGCGTCTCTGGCCTGTACCCCAGTTCTGTATGCACAAATAAATAAATCTTTAAAAAAAAAAAAAAAGCCTTATTTTCCAGCGCCATCCCCTACAGTCCATTACATATCATGTTGTTCCTGCTACTACACTTGAACTTCACTGAGGCCTCCAGTTTGCTGGTAAGGCCACTTTCTAATTACCTGTCTCTGTCTTCTCCTTGTTTGGCTTGATTCCATGCTCAGTCCTCACGTCTTCTTTGAAAATAACCTCAACTTCCTTGTTTCTCTTACCTTACTTGCCAGAAAACCACACCTGATTCACTTCCGCCATCTTTGCATCTTTGTTTGAATGGATGATCATGGCAGGAGAAAAGCAATACAGCCTCATTGGCTTTCCTTTAAATTTTTGATCACAAGCCTCACCGAGCACACTCTAGCAATCTCAATACCATCTTCTAGGAAACTTCTGTATGTTGTCTGTGACAACAGCTTCCTACCTGTCTTCTCACTGTATGCTCAGCTTGTATTCATTTTCAGTTGATGACCTATCTACTTTCAGGCTTCATCGAAGGGGGAAAAAAGACTTTCATATGAAAACTTTCCATTCCCTTTGGTAGATCTGTTATGTCAATGTCTGCATTTTGGCAGAAATTCATAGACTTTGTTCCTTCATGGCAACTTAGATCTCAGTACTTTTTTGCATGGCATTTTGGCTAAACAAACAAACAAAACCCTCATGGTTCAGTTTTTCACTCTGTTCAATTTATGTCCGTGTATTTCCCTTGAAAATTTAAATATTTCATACTGTCCCAGTGAGTTAACTGGTGTACCATGGCACACAACTTGGAAACTGTGACAATAATGGAAATGTGACCAGGAAACTTACTTAACAAATGTCATGATTTGGCAGCAATCTAGGAATCATCCTAAGAAAGCATCAGGTAGGGACAGAGATTATGGTCAGAACTCTTCCACTCAATAGCAGCCATCAAATATTGGTATACTTCAAATAATTAGGTGTTTGTTTGGGTTTTAAGTCCCTGTCAGACTTCAGTCCTGGCCGGCAGGGTTGAGCACTGAGTCCTCTTCTGTGGGCTTCATAGGCCATGGTGTCTGTAGTTGCGCATTGAAAACAGCCCTCATTTAATCAGCCCTCCCTTATTTCTGGGATAAAAAATTTAAGTAACTTTTGCATCTCCTCCCTTTGAAGAATTCCATTTGCACCTGACCTGAGCTGCTGCTAGATTATGTACACAGTGTAGTATTAAGTGGATAAGTCTGAGTTCAGGTCCTGGCCTTGCTTCCTGCTCGCTTTGTGGCCTTGAGTTATTAAGTTATTTAAGCAACTTGAGTTTCAGTTTTTCATCTGTCTATGAGACAAAGACCTGATATGCTCACTTCAAATTGATGACTTTATTTCTCAAATGAGGTGATGTGTATATGCCTGTTTTATACATTAAGTGCACATGAATGTTACTTTTTTGCAATCTAGCTAAAAATCTTCACTTCATATTCCATATGTTGTTTTCTCAGTAAACTATAAAAACTGTGACTCATTATTTTTTATTTTACTGCTAAGGGATTTGACACTGAGGGAGAAATTAAACAACTCACATGGTTTTCTGTGTCAGGTCACATGCAGAGTTGGTACAGAGCTGCTTAGTGTTGTCACACACCAGCCTGTTATTTGGTGATAATGAACTTAATGTGGTAGACACTAAGCGTTTACACACTATTTCATTAAACATCTACAACAAAACGGCCTTATTTAGCTAGTAATGTCAAGTCCCATGAAGCTGAGGGGGCGGGAGCTCAGAGACATTAAGGAGTTTGCCCAGGCTCACCTTGCCAGGAAAGCAGCCTAGGCTCTCTGGTGCTGCGTGTTCCGATGTTTTCGCCACTTAACTACACAAAATGACTTTCTGCTTAGTGAAGATATCGTAAGTAATCTTAATCACCTTTGAAAACTTCAGATTGCACATTTTATTGATAGAAATATAGTAATTAGCCTTTCACCCACATGGCCTCAAATTCATGCTTAAGACAACAGACGAAAGCAAACCACTTAGGTTATAGTAGAACTTCCAGATCTGTCAGTGCAGATAAATTATTCTGTGATTTTCTGAAATCCCTCACAGGGTGTTTTTTGTTTGTTTTTGTCTTTGATGTTTGTAAAGGAAGGTCATTTATAATCATTAAACTAATGTTGTCCAGAATTATCAACTCACTTGTATTCAGTTTTAAAACACTCTTCTGAAAAACGTAATACAGCATAACGTGATAAAGGCTGGCATTTGTCTCCTCTTTCTTTTCCAGGCATTCTTCAGTGGCAGACTGAAGGCCAGAGGGAACATTATGCTAAGCCAGAAGCTCCAGATGATTCTTAAAGACTATGCCAAGCTCTGAAGGATGCCCTACATTATTAATGAAAATAGAAAAATTAAATGCTCTCTTCTTCCAAATATGCAGAAGTGATTCAGAAGAAGTGATCAAACAAAGATAACAAGACAAATTGCTTAACATTTTCAGATTTCAGATAACTTTTCAGATTTTCATTTTCTACTAATTTTTCATGTTACCATTATTTTTACAAGGAACTATAAGCTAGCATGTAACTATCCTTCTGTTCTTAGATCTATATCTTGGTAATAAAAAAAAAAAATTCACCCAATACCAGTCTTTTCAGAATTTGTGATAGCTTTTGTAAGTTGAAAGCAAAATTAAAAAGAGAGCAAGGGCTACTTTAATGCTTCTAAACTCTCTATTTTGTTATTTTCTGTTCTCTATTGATATCCACATCTTAATATGAATCTTTATGTATGTACTCACTTTTCATGCTTTGCTATAAAAGATAGTATTCTGCTTTAAGATGAGAGACAAGCCTTTGTGTTCTCAGATTTCTTCTTCCTTTTGCTGGAAATTCATATAATGTTCGTAAATGCACAAAATATATAATTCTCTGGTTTAATCAGTAATCTTAATTATAAAGATGGGGTCTAACAAGTACTGTCATGTTACTGTTTTGCTCAACATCTAGCTTGGATGACATGTGGACATGTGCTGAGGAACTCCTATTCTGACGAGTTGACTGCAGAGGTGACCAGCAAGAGGAGTATTCAGGTCAGGGATGGAGTAAATTTCAGTTGTGGAGCACAGTTGAAGAAAGCATGTATAGGAGTATGGTATAGGTTGAGTTTCCTGGAAAAGGGACTTTTACAGAAAGATTCCTATATAGGAGATTTATTAGGGAATGCTCTTGGGATAAGCAGTTTTGGGCTGGGGCTGAAGAATGTTGGGAAGACAACATTTGGATGGCTTTTCCGAATTCTCTTGAGCTAACTAACCATTGATTAAGGCCATGACCTTGGCCAAAGCAGCAGAGCAGTTTAGAGGAGCGCTACAGTCAGTGAAAAATCTTCCCAGCAGCTGAGGGACTATCTTCAGTACTAATCTGGCTTCGGGGAGCACAGCACAGCACTTTGTTTCAGGGGACAAGGTTGAGGGAACCAGAGTTTAGGGATCAAGTAGGTCTTAGAATTTTTGAAGTTTAATATTAAATACAATGACAGAACATGAATGAACAGGATATATAGAAAGCATAGAAGAAAAGTTTCATACTTAGCAAAATATACCTTAGTAACATGAGCTCAGTGATAGCATAATATTTAATTTAGAGACATCCATTGTGATGCCAATTAAATTAAGACAAGTCAGTGGCAGGCTTATAATATTGCTCTTTTGTAATAACTATTGTTCCTGTTGAGCTGAGAGAAACTTAGTGTCCTTCCAGGTAGAAATAGAAATAGCATATTAAAATTAATCAAGTGACAGCACACATTAATGAAAATGTTGAATATAGACCTCCAATGCTTAAAGTATTAAGAATGTAACGATTTAATTATCTTATGAACTCATCTCTATTAAAGGCCAGGGAGTTATTGGCATTTAGATTTAGTGGCTTCTTAATAGTCTTCATGCTTTAACCTTTCTGTAATAATTAATATGGTTGAATGCACTGTTCTCAAATACTTTGTTCCCTTTTACCAATGAAAAATATATTAACTTCTTAAACTTAAGGGTTAATCTCCCTGACTTCTACTTGTCTCTATTATAATTTCCTGTTTGCCTATCTTTACAGGATTTTTGATCAAAGTTTCAGCCTTTTCTACTTTTTGGTAGACATTTTCTTCCGCGATGATTTCATCTACTGTCATATCTTCAGCCATCATCTGAGTGCTGGTAACTCTGAATGTGTTTGCTTAGTCCTCATTGCTCTCTAATTCTATAGTCGTCCTTGCAGTTCCAAATCATTACTGAGCGGTTGCATGTCCCAGATATAATCAGGTACAGAAACTTAGAGCATTGGGGAAGCCAGATTGTGAGTGCCCAGCCCAAAGAGCTTTTAGATCTCCTGACTTGAGCGTTTTCATCTCAACATTTGGTGTATCCTAGGTTTTCCAGGTATATCATCTGTGTGACGCTGATCTTATCCAGGACTCTTGATTTTCTTTTTTTAAAAAAATAATATAATAGTTTATTTTTACATCATTTTGTGCATTTTCCCATCTCAGTTGTAATCCCCTTGGGCATCTCATCACCAAATCACCCATGTGCCATCACCATAGTCCAGTGCACTTCCCTCCCCCCACTGTTTTTGATCCCATTCCCACTCTACCCCCACAAAATGTCTCTGGTATATAGCTGTTCATTCTCATTCTATTATTTTCTTACCTGGTCCGTTATATTCCTGCTATGAGCACTCTTGATTTCTTACATAACTTTGTATATATATTTTAATGTTCATAGTGAAAAAGCTGATTTTTATACTGGCAAGAAATAGGTTTAAATAATCTACTAATAATACTACCCTAGTGTTAACTTTTATCCGTTAGGTAAAAAAATACAGCTGCAGAACAAAATCATAATCCATTTTCACTGAGAAATTCTGATACTCAGGAACTTCAAAAGCTGCAAGTTATGGGAAGTGATTTTCTGAAGAGCAGGACATTTTAGGTCAGTGTGGACTAAGCTATTTAAAAGGGGAGAGAAAAGAAAATAACCTATTTAAGAACCCATAAACAGGCAAAAATAGAAAACCTGCAAGCCATCGCTTAAAATGAATTTAGATTTATATCAGTAGGCAGTATATTGGCTGCAGTTGCTTAGTAAGTGGCATGTAGATTTCAGGGTTAACAGTGCTTAAGAAGTAAAAGATGTCTGAGCTGATAAAATGTTGAGGCACTAAAATTCAAGCTTTATTTATGTAAGAGCTGTTTATATCCTCATCCAGAACCCATTTTTGAAGAAACCTGTCTGTATAACTTTTGAGTCCACAGCTGACAAGCCTCAGAAATAGAAGTGGAAAGAACCCTGTGTTGAGGAGAGCACGGGTAGTGGAAGTTTTTGAAGCCAGCATGGCAGAAGACATCAAATTAAGCCAGAAAGCAGACTGAAAAGCCTCCCTTAAAGTGAGTGCTCTTTGAAAGGAGGTTGAGCAACTCTATTCCTTAACCTCTTTTGAAGCAGTTAAATATTTTCAGGAAAGAAAAATCAGGTCAGCAAACATTTCTTTGAATGGCCAGACAGTAAACATTGCAGGCTTTGCAGGTCATGTCCATAAGTGACTATGTAGTGTGTGTGTGTGTGCGTGTGTGTGCATGTGCATGTGTATGGAATTTATGTTTTTAACTACGTGGAGGTTTGATTTGGCCTTCAGGTTTATGTGCTGAGGATGACAGTTAAGACTTGAGGGGAAAAGAAAAAGGGGGGGGGGAGAAATCAAATAATGCACAAAATCAACGAGGTAAGAAAAGTGTAAAAGACAAAAGCAATGATACTAGGAAAAAACTTTTTAGACTAATTTTTATTTACTTTCAAAAATGAATTTCTGTGAATTATGAAAAGCCTATTTGGGTAGTTTAAACTGCACATGCATGGCCCTGTTCCTGCCAGCCCACCTTGTGGACTCTTCAGGCCAGATTTCCAGCCCAGCAGCTCGGGTATACTCTCCATCTTCCCTTTTTGTTTCACCAGCAATTTTGGAACTACACACTTTTTTTTTTTTTTAAAGATTATTTATTCATACAGAGGTGGGTACAGGCCAGAGGTGTAGGAGTGGTGAGAGGATTCACCAGAGACAGAGTGAGGAGTAGAACAGGCTGACTGAAGAAGTACACTGCTGAGGGGAGCAGTGGGCGGGTCAGGAGAGGTCTGTTGCGCCATGTGGGTCACCTCCGGGGTGGGGATCAAACTCAGATGAAGTGGATTTGTTTTCCTAGATTAAAACCCTTAGGAAGAAAATGTCCCAAGGGACTAAGAAAACTGGATAGTGAGTATATCACTGGAGAAGTCAGTGAAAAGGTGTTTGGTACCACTATTTTCTGGAAGGTTGTCCTTTGTGAAAATAGGCTTTTATCTTTTCCTTTGCCGGGTTGAGAAATCTCAATTTTACTTGCCTTTGGAGGTAATGTGGGCCATATTAGAACAAACTATAAATATTTCCCTTTTCTCTTTCCCTTCCTGATTAATATGTGAGCTCTTCCAGAAGTGTGGCTTTGTTTTTGCTTAGTGTAATGAAATTGATTCCCAAATTACAGTGTCAAGACCAGCATTAGATAATTATAGTCTTGAACTCCTGGTGTGTATAGGGCATTGCAGATCTATGTGTCAGTAAAGAATATGTAACTTTTAAGTAGCTAATTAAATTGAATAAGTGGAATTAATTTTTTTGCTACTTTAAAAAAAAGATTTATTTACCTAAGTATTCAAGAGTTGGGGTGCAGGCTAGAGGTATGAGGGGGTAAGAGGATTCACCAAAGACAGAGTGGGGAGCAGAACAGGCAGATCTCCTGAAATCCTGAAATACACTGCTTGGGGGAGCAGCGGATGAGACAGGAGAGGTCTGCAGCACCATGTGGGTCATCAAACTGGTTGGGGATTGCACTCATACTTCGTGCTGGTGGCTGCCAATAGCTTCATAGTGCTGAGACCTAACCCCCCAGGGACGCCCATCACTTAAACTTTTACTTAGAATATTCGATGGCTTCTCAACTTGATTTAAATTGCATTTTTGAAGTTACTTGGAGTTGTTTATGAAATGTGTATTTGATGAATTGTCAAGTTTGTTCTTCAGAGTTGACAATTAAAACACCCATGTGGCAGATGATAATGAAACTGGTGAAGTTTATGAGTTATCCCAGGTCATACTGGGAGAAGCAAAAGAGTGAGACCAAGAAATAAGGTCACCAGCTGTTAGCTAGTGTTTACTCCACTGCATATTCCAAGCTGTGCATCTAAATGTGTCTTTCCAAGCCCATTTTTCAAGGTTAACATGATTTACCTTCAAGTAACCTCCTTGATTAAGGTGAGTGGGGCTGGGAGGGGGGATGTTTTTGTACAAATACTTCATCTTTGTATATCTTAAAAGTGAAATTGTTTGCAGCATATCAAATTTCTGTAGAAATGGCTGTCATTCAGCCATTTAAGGAAAAAAATCACAGATTGCAGTCTGCAAGTAAACTAAATTGTTAGTTGATTTTCATTTCATACATTTAGCTGAAAATTAGTTTAATCACGTTCCATAATTAGAATACAACAACAAAAATTATTCAGAATCTCATATTTTTTGTAAAGGCATCAGAGTTTTAAAACTTTACTTTAATCCAGGTTGCCTGAGATTTAGTTCAAAACACAGGAAAATACAAAGAAACTTGGTAAGTTTCTATAGTCAACTTTTTTTCATATATTTTTTTTTAAGATTTATTTATTTATGCATACAGAGCTGGGGTACAGGCAGAGGCTCAGGGGTGGTGAGAGGCTTCACCAGAGACAGAGTAGGGAGCAGAACAGGCAGATCGACGAAGTACACTGCTGAGGGGAGCAGCGGGCGGGTCAGGAGAGGTCTGCCATACCATGTGGTCACCTCCGGGGCAGGAATCGAACTCATGTGGAAGTGGCTTTAGCTTCTCAGTGCTGCGCTTTAACCCGCTGCACCACCAGGGAGGGCCATATTTGGATTTTTTATGTCACAGAATTGACTTCATGTTTTCTTCTAAAGGAGCATAAAGATGTCAGAAAGTTATGTGATACATAATACGTTGACAGTTGATATGTGTAATTGATGTGTAGATTATCCCAGTTGATATGAATTCATATTTCAACTCAGGAACACATATTAAGTAGTAATAGTTCGTTAATGTTGTAAACCATGGTACATACCAACTGAAATGATAAGAAAGGAAATAATGGCCTTTCGCTGAAAATTCCAGTCCATTTGCTGCTGAACTCATGAGAAGAGCAGGGCAGGTGATGCTCTAGGCTGGCTGCCTCACTGTAAAAATCCTGGACTAGGGCATCATCCTGAATGTCAAGGTTTCAGGTGTCTGTGAGCATTGAAGTTCCAATTTTCCATTGAAATTAAGTATTTCAAGTTTAACAAATAAGAATTACACTATAGATGTATGTCTGATGAAAATGGCATAATGAAATGTCAGCATCAAGGCAGCAGGGTCCAAATTGTCCAGCTCTGTTAGTCACCGCCCATTTAATACATAAATAAAAAGATTCCCCCTCCTGCTTACAATGAGCAGTCTAATCTCATTACCAACTTTTCCATGAATTTTTGACAGGATGGAGGAGGCAAGGGTAAGGTTCTTGACTTTTTAATCACCCTGTGATACCATTTTCTAATTCAGTTGAATTATCATCCTCTTCAGCTACTTCCTTTTATCACTGCAAGAGCGGTGGAAGAGCATTAATTTTCCCTGATATTTTTTCCCAGACCAAAAACATTATTTGTACTAGGTTATTACTGAAGTGCTAAGATTAACAAGGAGGGTGTGTATCACAGCTACTTGTGGAATATACGAGATACTCCCACCATTTAAAGTTAAAGTTAAACAAACTGACTTTACTTATATCTGCCCTCTTTTCTCCCAAGCCCAGAAGTTCCTACTTCATTTTACATAATAATTTAGCTGTGTTTCTCAGTAGTTCTTTGTGTAATTACAAGGGTTTCATTGTATATGTCTAAACCAGGACATTTTTCTCCCTAAGAGGAATTCTGTCTCTAGTATGCAAGCATTTGTACCTTCTGAGTAAAGTAGGATGAAGGTAAGGGAGAAGTGAGTGGGAAGATCTGGTGAACATTTGGAAAATGGATGCCTAGAGAAGGACTCTTGTCCAGTTATCTACCACCTGCGGCATCTGTGATAAGAGTGATACAGGCAGTATGCCTGGCAATCATCTCGGCAAGCCTGAGGCAAGTAAGACCACTCCTTTTTTTTTTTTTTAAAGATTATTTATGCGTACAGAACTGGGGTACAGGCCACAGGTGCAGGGGCGGTGAGAGGATTTACCAGAGACAGAGTGGGGAGCAGAACAGGCCGACTGATGAAATACACTCTGAGGGGAGCAGTGGGCAGGTCAGGAGAGGTCTGCCGCGCCATGTGGGTCACCTCCAGGGCGGAGATCAAATGCGCACTGAGGTGGCTGTGGCTAGCTTACAGTGCTGCATTCAACCC